CACCCTATCGTACCATCTGCTTTTAAGCTTTGTTTCGCGTGGTAAAGAAAAGGGCGGAGGTTACTGAATACTTCAATTTGGCTTGTGGTTATTCAGAAAATGCTGACGAAACGCATCTGTGAATCTCTGTGCTGTCACTGGTTGTCACAAATTTTCGTTTTATCCCTACCTAAGGTTCTCCGGAGAAGTTTATTCCTGTTTTCCACTGATTTAGCTTCCTGTAATACTCTGTTTGAAAAGGTATGAGCGTTATCCTGCTTCTGTAGAAGGTCAAAACTAATCTTTTTGAGAGTAATAACAAGAATGGGATGCAACGTGTGTACATATACTCTATTTCGGAAGACGAGAAGAAAATCGAGTGCAGACCACACACCATAAGAGACGACGGCCAAGAAAAAAGCCGCTTTTCTCTTGGCCGTCGTCTCTTATGTGTGTGGTCTGCACTCGATTTCTTCTCGTCTTCCGAAATCGAGTACAGGTTGAGGCATCGTTAACACTTTACTCGGTTTAATGCTCCATGTACTGCAGCTAACGACTCCCTTAAACTTACACTTAAACGAGGTAAAATATTTATAACAGCATAAAGTGAGTAATGATGAGGCATTTGCTGTTAGGCACTTCATAGAGGTTTGATTGACTGAGGCGTCATTGAGTACCATTGGTAGCCCTCTAATCATAAGGCATAAGTATGGACAGGATATTATCAGAAAGGGACCCTGTGAGAGTTACGTTCGGAATGATTTTTTCCCTGTGACGTCGTCCGACCGTGAAGGATCCAATGTGATCATGGGTGAACTCTGAAAATAATGACATTGTGAAAATTTGTGAATCTGGTTAGCCATGATTACGGTAACCCTGCATAAATGCTGAAGAAGGCTTCTTGTCTTTTTTGGTTGAGGTTATCGAACGTTCAATAAAATTGTTTTGTTAAGTATACAGTTGAAATATTTTATTTAATATGCATTTAGAATTCTATTGTAATTACCCTGTGGAAGTTCTTTTCAGCTTGATACTATTCTTGTGTTTTTTTATTTTACTTGAGTGAGGATTACTTTCAAGTTCGAATTTATGGACCTTTAGCAAATGGCATGTAACGCAAGGAACTGGTGCATACCCGGGGTCAACGGCTTGTTGAGATTTTCCCAACGAGGGAGATCGTATCCGTTAGTCATGGACGGGGTTGCATTAGGGGCTTTGAAGGCGGTCCTGGTCATGGGAAATCTACTAAAATTGACGAACATGTGTACGGTTAGCTGTTCTACTCAGGTAAGCGGTAAATCTTCCCCCTCTCCCTGTTCGGTGCCGATTTCGGAGGAATTCTGGGGCAAGCTGTTTCATGCAATTTCAGCGATTTCAACGCCAATATGTAAACCGTCGGTCGACCTTCGAGGAGATCGTGCAAAGGAACTGACCCTAGTCACAGTTATTTGTAGATTCATGCGTAAATGTCACCCGAAATTTCTATCCGTTCCCGGTCAGTGGCGCCAGTGGAAATTTATGAACCGATGACATCCGTTTGTCGGATTACTTCATCAAGGTCGTAGGCAGGGATCAGCGCACCGTCTCTTGCCCGGTAAGCGAGAGGTGCGGGTTCTAGTCCCGCCTGGGGCGAAAGTTTTGTTCACAACCCAGCATTCTTGTGAAACATTCGCAACGCGAACTGCGCCAAAACAGCAGTTAACAAACAAAACAAGTCAAAATCTTATAACATACGAAGAAATGCGACTTTTTCGTCAACCACAACACAGCCTCTTAGAACTGTCACTGTTTCTGTTGGTGAGATCGATGACAAAAGCATGCATGTGAAATAAAATTAAGGGTGAAACTCCAGTTCGGGGGGGCCACTCCATTGCTATCTTATCCGTAGTACTAGAGAGCAGTTCTTTGGGCTATCGAACACTACGGATAAGATAATAAGTGAACGACTCATTTCGAGCGTACTTTTGATAAGGACCGGTGGATGTCCTACATTCCACACTACCTGCCCACATCCCATCCACTTTTCTGCACAGGTGATCCACCCTGGAGCTCCTGCACCCTTAGCCCTTTGCGGAGGTGTCCTTTCTCCTGGTCCAGGACCGTTCCCTTGGGTCATGGCAGGCGGAAATGTGAAAACGTTTCAGGGTTTCTCACCCATTACACCAATATTTATCAGAAGTCTACTTTAAAGGAAGCAGTCACGCTGGCTTCCACGCTGGATTTGCTACCCTCGCGTTATCAATCGATAAGGTGTGAGGCAGTAATTGTTGGACGAGTGTAAGCCCATGGAAGATATGATACGATGAGATAAGAAGGTGCGGCTGCTTGATAAGAGGTGCACTCCAGAATGAAAACGGGACGATAACGATAACGGTATCATATCTAGCACGCTCTTATCGCACCCCTTTCCACATCGATAAGTCTTGGGTTTTGCTGAACTTGAGTGAATTTCGGCTCCTTATCACTTCATTGATAAGGGGCCACTGCCACTGAAACTTTACGTGTTCTAACATTGGGCAGGACCTCTATCCACTCCAATACATAGCTTTCCTTATCGTTGCCATGAAAATTATCGTGACTGTCTCCTTTAAATGAGTCGATTACGTGTCGTGAGCCCTCTAATCCTTATCTTGAGTATTGGAGAAAAAATGGAGTGGCCCCCCCCCCCGAACTGGAGTTTCACCCTTTAAGTATTCAAAAACATGAATGCTCTGCGCGCTGTTATTTTCGAAAAAAAGTGGAATTCTCGAAATTGTAATGAGCAGATTTTGACTTGTTTTTGTTTGTTAACTGCTGTGTTTTGGCCGCAGTTCGCCTTGCGAATGTTTCACAAGAATGCTGGGTTGTGAACAAAACTTTCGCCCCAGGCGGGACTAGAACCCGCACCTCTCGCTTTCCGGGCAAGTGCGCTACCAAGTTACGCTACCGGGGCACCATTTCATTTCATGAAATGGTGCCCCGGGTAGCGTAACTTGTAGCGCACTTGCCCGGTAAGCAAGAGGTGCGGGTTCGAGTACCGTCTGTGGAGAAAGTTTTGTTCACAACCCAGCATTTTTGTGAAAATAATAAGAGCTCCTCGTCTGTTAGCCATCTGCAGAAATGATCAAATCGCGCAAACAAAAGCAGCATTTGCGGATCCTACAAAACTGCGGTGACCAATTTCTTGGGATTTAATGGGTGCTCATAATTATATCATAATTTTTAGAGTGAGCAAACAGTAATCAAATATAAAATTAATACACTTTCTCCTTCGCTCCTCTTACTGAATTTATTCACTCATTACCTCTTCTACTTTCGTATCCTTCTTCGGCTTTTTCAAACAATGTAATAAGGGTCCAAGTTCGAAATCATCAATGTCCTCCGGCAATTTTCGGTCTTTTGTTTCCGGCATCAGAAGTACCAGCGCAGCGGATGATATCGACATCATGGCTATCAATAACGTTGGAGCCGATTTGTGGATTGCTTCCTGGAAGCAGAGACTTTTGTCGCACATGAGGACCATTTCAGCCAGTTGGCGACAACCTTCATCTGATTGTGCCTCCGAGATTGATATCAATTTTTATCACCTAAGTTTTTGGCGAACTCGCCCTTTCCGGGCCTTCGAGATCGAAAGCATTAGCGAACCAACTCATCCCGAAAGCATTTTGAATGAACCAGAAGGGAAACTAAGGGGAACAGCTGTCTTCATAGAAATGGAACTTTGGGGGTTGGGGCACCCTTAGGTGATGTCCTTTTCAGAAGTCAATCAAAAACAGCAAGGCTCCTATATAGTTCGGGATTTCCGAAATCAATGGGGAGTCGTTCAACGACGGTATTCCGAAGGCAGTGATCACGATGACTGGATGGCGGCTGGGTTTGATAACGTCATTCAACATCACTGGTGGACTAGACTCCAGAGCGCGCTAGAGGAGTGTTTGGACCGTGTCTCGACGCTCTTCGACCGCAGTGATTTTTGGAACATATGGTGGGGACACACGATTAACTGGAATACCGCCCACCCTCCGCGCTTAAAGCAACAGTCCAGGCAGGGTTTCAACTACTTGGTCATTAGGCGGTCAAAACATGCCCCAGCCCAACTAAAGTTTATAGGAAATGTCTTTAAGTTTCAAACCTACCTCTAAAATGCGCTGGAAGGGGTCGAAGTCCTCTTGGAGGGGGCGGATCACTCATACCGAGGCGGATCGCTCAACATACGCTGTGCAGAGTCCGTGCTTGACTAGCGGTCGTTGCGGGACCGCCGCGCTGTATGAGGTCGATTCCATAAGAACGCAATTGAAGCGCTTCAATTTCGATTGCTGGCAAATAGTTATGTATTTGCAAGCATGCAGCTATTTGCCAGCAGTTGCAATTGGAGCGCATGTACTACGGGCAGGTTCGGACAACTCGTCCAACACACGTCTCCCTAAACGGCAGGGGGAGTCCCTGTCTAAGCCCCTGCCCGACGTTTTTTTCTACTTTTTCTTTCTCCATTGACCAACTTCTCACCTGCAACGTCATTATAGGTGGTCCTTACCCGCGAATTCGTTCCTGGATTGTTGCTTTAAAACTTCCCCCATCCAATTTGAGAGTAATAAC